TAAGGGAGACGAGGTTAGACTTCAGCAGCATGCCAGGACCTCCCTTCATGGACCATTCCCCGGGGTCAGGCCCCTGGAGGGGTCAGGGTTCTGTTCCCATGACCCTCAACTGCTCTGTGATATGTGGGGGCCTCTCAGAGCTGGGTGAGGGTCTTCTCTGAACAGTGTCTGGGAGCCGCTGATGAAGCAAAAGACACTCCTGCCAGAAGCATGCATGTGGCCTAAAACACGACATGTACCTTCCAGGGTTTGTGGTACACACACACACAGATGCACACTCCACAGGCCCCGGCAAGCTAAGGTCTACAACAGGGCAGGCAACGCAGACAGAGATGCGCGCATCCCCAGAGCCTCACGTGACAATCACTCTCCCTCCCAAAATTAGTCATGGGGACCGCCTCAGAAAGGCTCTTCCTAGGCTTTGGCTGCACTTATTGGTGGTGACATATCTCTAACTCCATGTCCTAGCCCCACCTATACTTCCTTCTTCCCATGTCGCCAGGTCTGTGGCCTACAAGCCGCTGCCTTTCTCAACCAGCAATGGGGAAGGGAGGGACAAGGCCCGGCCAGGGGACCAAAAGGCAAGATCTGCAAGAATCTGGAGAAGGGGGGAGGAAGAGCCTGCCCGCAGCTGGCATGGAGGCAGGGGGTGGCCCAATGGCCAGGGGCCAGGTTGGAGAGGAGGGACCGCAGGCTGTGCCGAGGCAGATGTTCCTTCCTAGCCCAGGGGCCTAGGTGGGCCCAGGAGGGTGAACCGGGAACATCACGGGGACCCTCCACCGATTACCTGCGCTACAAACGAATCATGAAGGGAAGGAGGGGGTGTCCGCTCCAGGTCTACGCGGGGCCCCCAACTGGGGACTTGGGGAGTGTCCTTTCGGGGGCCAGCTGTGGAGAGAGAATAAGAGAGGCTGTGAGTGAGACAGTCAGCGGAAGGAGAAAGCTGTGGCTGGGGTAGGGTGTAAGGGGCGGGGGGGATGGGAGAGGGGAAGGGTCGAAAATACGATGTTATAAAAGGAGAGGTCAAATGCAAGTTTAAAACCACACAAAACAACACTATACACGATCACATACACAGGATGTGCGTAATACTGTGCTGTGTGCGCACGTGTATCGTACAGTATGTACACACTACAGAATAGCACGTAACACTGTACAAAGTCACTTACTGGCCCATCAACCTAACAGGATGCAGCCAGTTCTGGTGACCGTGGCACTTCTGTTCTAGAAAGGGAACCCTGAATCCTGCTCCTGGGGGAACTAGGTTCCTACCAGTCCCTTGTCACACTTTTATCAACCCATCAATGGTTTCTTTGTGATTCTGTTTTAGGATGCTTTACTTAACATATACTGTTGGTTCATTAACAGCTAACACAGCCCACAGCTCTCTAACTCGAGTCTGAGTGAGTCACTAATGCAGGTCTTTGCTCCACAGGGCACACCCAGGCCTCCTGATCTTAGGAACACTAGACGGGGCTTTGGCGCTATGCTGAGTGGCCATGATGGGGGACCTCAGCTGGACACAGGGTTGGTTTGTGACTTTCACGACTCTACACACGTCTGCAAGCGACCAGGAAAGCAGCGTGAGAGTTGGGGGTTACAGGTGCTGGCGAGTGAGCAAACTCGCAAAACCAGAATCCATGCATAAGGAGGCTCCCCTGCGGCGCCGGGCTCCAGGCGCTGGCTTTAAGCACTCTGCGCATGTTAGTCGTTTCACCTTCTCTAAATCCCTCTGAGGTGGGGGATTTTACTAGTCCCATTCTGTAGATGACAGAACTGGGGCTCAGAACAGCTAACAACATGCTCAAGATCCGTCAACTGGCAGTGGCCAGGCTGGATTTGGGCCAACACAGGCTCACTCCAGAGTCCCCGCCTTAACCGCTATCACACAGAGGATGCTCGAGGCATTGTTTCTCTTTTAAGATCTGACGCAAATACAGCAAAAATGTCAAGATAAGATGGGAAAATGTCAAGATAAGACTGGGCTGGGTGACTTGCTCGTGCAGGCTTTTGTTATCACCTTAGGAATGCATGGGACAGTCAGATTCAAAGTGATAAAGTGAGTGGCTTGGAACAGAGAGGACCATCAGCAGGGACTGGCTTCCTCTCCTCCTCCCCCAGAAAGATGTAGAAAGCAGCTGTCACAAGGTTCTGTCCCACCTAGATTCCAGGTGCACTGCCCAGGCCTGGAGGCGCTTGCAAGCACCCAAGGGCTTTTCAAGGGAGCATCCAGGTTCCTGGGTTCTTCCATCCTGCCTCCGGTGTGGCCCAAGCTCTGTAAGCCTCAGATCAGCAGGATCAGCCAGGAGGGGCTGTTTCCTGCGCAGCCTTCTCCAAACCCGCCCACAGGGAAATATCCATAGGATGCTCCAGACTTCTGAGAATTTTTTATCCATGTGTTTTTATCCCAGTGGTAACATGAGAGAAATGAACGGGAGGAGGGAACTGATCTACAATGGGATGTGGTGTTGGTGACGATGGTGACCAGGGCTTAACATTTAACAGCTCTGATTTGTGCATTACGATGCATGTAAATTTTACTTTTAAAAACAAAACAAACAAACAAAAAATTTATCACTAGGGAGCAGCCTGGTGGGAAGGGCATTTATGAAGCGCCCACTCTGTGTCCAGCATGAGGAGGGCTGAAGGTGCCGTAATGAGCAAAGGCAGATGCAGCCCGTGACTTTGGGGAGCACACCCAGTGGTTCTCAACCAGGGACGGCATCAGACACCTCTCTCCTTGACACACACATACTCAAAAGCTCCTGAAAATGTGACTCCCAGGACACACAATCAGTGTGCAAAGTTGCCAACCCAAAACTGTTCACAGAAACAGAAGCTGTAAGAGCCATCACATGGTTCCCGCCTGACTCCCAGAATGGAGCTGACGCATGGACAGAGCCACAGCCAACCTGCAAAGGGCACACACGTGAGTGCGAATGAGATTTTCCTATTGTAAGCCACTGCAATCTGGGGCTCAGTTGTTACTGCACATCACTTGGCAGAAACTGACTAATGCACCACGAAAAGCCTGCACAGCCACAGTGCTTCCTCCGGTCTCAGGCTTTGTGCTAACTCCGGTCCCTCCCCGGCCCCAGTGAGGCGGGAAGAACACTGACGTTTCACAGCTCAGCAAACAGAGACTCAGGGGTCAGGACCACACTATGGGTCAGGATTTGAACTCAGACCCTGTGATTCTGAAGAACCTCATTCCTCACCACCTGCTATAAAAAGCAGGAAATGCCAGGCCTGAAAACCACAGGCAGCTCAAGAGAACAGCCATGACGCAACAATGACAAAGTGTCCTTCCAGAAACTCGTGTGAATTCCTCCGGCACTTGTAATGCGATCGGAGTTTTGCGTTGTCATCGGGACCTGTACAGAAGCCAGAAAGCTTAGCAGGATAGGAATTAAAGGCCCCATTAGCTCCAGAAACAGGCGAATTTTAATTTAAGCATTTCAGTAACCCTCGGGTTATTTGCAAGTCATACAAGTGAAAGTTGACAGGACTGTATCATTGGCTGATGGGAAATGGCAGGACAAGAAGATAAGTGGCAAAGTCTGGCTGCTGCTTTTCCAAACAAGTTTCCCCAGCCCTCCTCCTCTTCCTCACAGAAGCCTGATCTGCTCAGGAAAACACTTGCCAATTCCAAGATGTAAACAAAGGCTGTTCTGAATCAGTCTTTTTCAAACAATGGGGCATGCCTTTGAGGGTTGTGAAATCAAATGAACAGGTTGTGACCAGGATTTAAAAAAAAATAAATTATTTAATGATTTGAGAGGGGGGCGGGGGACGACATCGATTTGTTGTTTCACTTACTTACACATTCATTGGTTGATTCTTGTATGTGCCCTCACTGGGGACTGAACCCATATCAGGACAGTGCTCTAACCAACTGAGCTACCTGGCCAGAGCTGGATTTTTTTTTTAAACTAAGTGGTACAGAGGCTAAAATGGAATGGGATAGAATAGAGAATATTAAAAGGCACCACACATGTTAAGTGTAAATATCAGTTTGTGACACTGGTTTCAATTATGTGTGTCTGTATGGGCACATATTTTCTACTGCAGGTTATGGTCAAAACAGCTGTAAAATAATTGGATTAAGCCAGCGGCGCGCCCATTCCCTTTATCAGTCATTCACTTTCCCAGGCTTCCTTGCAGCTAGGTTAGCCATAGTTTTCTACAAATAGTAAAAGCCAAAGTGTATAGAGTTGTGTTCTGCTCAATGAGACTTTTGGGAAAGACTCTGGCAAACTTTGGGAAATTTTTTTTCTTTCAGAATATAAAGACAGAACTTCTCTAGAGAAAGATTCTTTTGCTTCTCACTTCCAACTTTGAATACAGTTGAGAAAACTGGAGCTGTGGCAGCCATTTTGCAACCATGAGGAAACAAACCTGAGGCTGATAAGGCCCCCAGCAGAGGCCTACTGTTGAAAGGAGAGAAAAAGACTGGGTTCTTAACAACTCCTCATGGGATACCCACCTCCAGACTTCTCAATCCTCACAGTTCAAGCCCCTATTAGGTTTTCCTTTATTTGCAGTCAGACACAACCTGACATAAATGAGCCTGTACTTCTGATAACTTTGCAACCCATCACAAGGACTCTTCCATGGATCAAGGACTAGATCTGAATCCACTGAGAAAAGAGGCCCTGATGGTGAGGGGAAACTGAAAAAAAACCACTGTGGTGACTGCAAAATTGGCCAGAAACTTCTCCCTAGTCCCACACTCTCTGCAGCTCCTACTATCAAGAGATGAGGTCTATTACCCAACCCTTGAATTTAGGCTGGCCTTTGGACTCACCTTGGCCAACAATGTGGCAGAAGTGATGGTGTGTGTTCCTGAGGCTACACCTAAGGAGACCTGGTAGACTTTACTCTTTGTCCAGCTGCCATGTGAAGAAGCCCAGCTAGCCTGCTGGAGGACAAGAGACACATGCCCGTCACCTCCATCATCACAGCTCACAGCCAGCCAAGCCCTGGAAGCGGAGCTACCTGCCTGGCTGACTATAGCTGACCACAGACACCCAGGTAAGATCAGAAATGCCCAGCAGGGCCGTCCAAATTCCAACCATTAGGACCATGGCTTTGTTTTCAGCCTGTGGAGAATCTTGTTTTCCAAAGATGCTACAACAATGTCTCCAACCTCCCAGATCTTCCCCAAGGTGATCTTGCTTTGCCACCTTTTATTTTATTTTTTAAATTACTGATTGATTCTAGAGAGAGGAAGGGAGAGAGGGGG